TTTTAGACCGCTGATATGCAGTGGACATACGACGTATTTGGAACTACTCCAGAATACGCCCCACCAAGCAGCCAAGCGAAAATTTCTTCTGGAAGTCACACTCAACGGCGAACTGTCAGACAGAAGAAAAATTACGTTTTAGACAATCTCAAATTACCAAACACTGCGGTGTCATCTCCACTAAAAGGCGCTCGTCTCGTATCACGTGCCAACAAGACGTAAATAAGTACTGGTTCGTAAATATGAGCAATTCTCCTCGGTTAGCTGCCTACAAGTAATCATTTTGTAAAGTTTGTAAAGTGTCATTCAAAATAAAGTTTTGTTTTCGGTGTTTATTTGTTTAACCGACGCTTACAGCATTTTTACTTTTCTAATTATTTGACCAATCCCGACCTTATACCCCACTATGCCCGAGTATATTAAAACTCTCGTAAAATATTCACTTTATCCCCACCCCCTTGGGCATCATTGCTGGTCAAATGTGATCACAAGCCCCACATAGTCCCCACCCTGTCCTGGGTTGGGGGAGTCGGGGTTTACTTTGACTAKTGCATTACTGAGCCATAGAATATATGTGTAGGCRGAGTAGACAGATAATTCGGTTCATTAGCATATTTGCATAAGCATATAACTTTTAAACCTAAATCGGCACTGACTATTGAAACAACACAGCACAATTAAAGCTTAATTTTGAGTTTTAATTTCTCATGTATAATACTTTTTGACTCAAACGTTTTCAAAACTCCACTTTTAGAGAGATTTAATTAGCGCTTTTGCCAGTCATCATCTTGAAACGCTAATATCTCATAAACTATTACATGTAAAGACCTGAAACTTTCGTCGTTTACAGTCCTTAATAAGCCCTTTTACTTTATGAACTTATTTTCCTTTTTTTTATTTACTTATGCTAATTAGCAAAATTTTGTAAACAAAAAAAGATCCGCCTATTTGCTACAATAATCGTTTCAACAATGACAAAACCAAACGATTTTACATGTAATTACACGTACTTAGCCTGTGTACATCCGTTTCTCATAGCCTGTGTACATCCGTTTCTCACCCCTCCAAAAAAATCGGTGAGAGAACGTCTGTGATTTGCCGTTGCTAATCGTGTTCTGACATAAATTTGCATATATAATGTGACATGCACGTTAGAGCTTGAGCAGGCACGTTAAAAGGTCAAGTAAACATAATTAGTCGGACTAGCCGAAGGCGGTCCGACTTTAAATTTACCTTTTAGCCTATCAATCTATCGGGATCGGGTAATCTTCGAGTTACGCGCTGCGAGTTACGCGCTTCGAGTTACGCGCTTCGAGTTATGCGCTTTTCGAGTTACGCGCTCGACCACGCCCAAATTTGCCTCGGCCACGCCCAGCGCATAACTCGATGCAACTAACATACATTAGTGCCTTCGAGTTACGCGCTTTTAAATTAAAATCAATATAAAAAAGAGCTCATTGCTTTTACGGCTTTTATTTTTGAAGCAAAATATATAAAATATAT